GAGGCCAGCCTGGTCTACAGAGTGAGATCCAGGACAGGCACCAAAACTCCAGAGATATCCTGTCTCAAAAAGCCAAAAAAAAAAAAGGGGGGGGGGGTAGGGGTATGTAGCACAGGCTTGCCTTGCCTTGGACCTGATGTAATCCTGCTGGGATCACTAGTGTGTGTCAAGCAAGGTTTAGCATGCTAGTCTTACCCTTCCTTGGGTGCCATTTGAATTGAACCAACATGCCTATGTACACAGCTCTGCTCTCGGTGCTAGGAATCAAACCCAGGACCTTATGTGTGTGTGTGGACAGACAGCAATTGAACATTCCCAACAAATGGAACTTTTCCTTCCCTCTTGTGTCTGTGAAATGTGTGTGAACAAGACTTAAGGTAGAAGAGGGCATCAGATTTCCAGGAGCTGAAGTTACTTAGGTGACTTTCGAGTTGCCTTACATGGCAGCTGGGAATTGAACTTTGGCCCTCTGGAAGATCAGTTAGTGCTCCCAAATTTCAGAGCCACCTCTGAGGGCCGCCACTGCCCCCTTTAGAGAGGATTTTACTATGCAGCCTATGTTGGCCTAGAATTCCAGCAGTACTCCTGCCAAGTGACAGGCTGGGCTACAGGCACCAGCCACTACGCCAGGCACAAAGCAGTTTTATAATCAAGTTACTGCCAGGCAGCGGCGGGGGTGGTGGCAGCGGCGGTGCATCATCTCTGAGTTCGAAGCCAGCCTGGTCTAGAGCGAGCTCCGGGACAACCAGGGCTGCACAGTGAAACCAGGTGTGCGGGAGACCAGACGAGGCAATCGTACTGTCATCTGGTAGTGAAACCATGGAAGACGGAGCAGATGTTTAGACAGACAACACTGGGTGGAGAAGGTGCAGATGCTGTTTGCATGATTAGCGTTTGGTGTTTGTGGCTGAAAACCAGTTATGCAAACCTCAAATTTGCACATTTCCATGGTGATTCGGCTCCTTTCAAGGTATTTGACAACAAAGGCAGGATAAGTTCTTCAAACCGGCTTATTCTCACCTCCTTCTTGGAAGGAGGGGCACCGACAGATGCGAAGAACTACTAAAACCTCAGGTGATTAATCTTGTTCATCTCAAAAGGGTGTGTGTGTGTGTGTGTGTGTGTGTGTGTGTGTGTGTGTGTGTGTGTGTGTGTGTGGTAGTCCCTTTGTGAACCCTTTCACATTAAAAACAAGTGAACACCACAACACCCGATCAAACAGGGCTGCTGAGCCGGATCAGTGTGTAAGGGCACTCGCTGCCAAGCCCAGTTTGATCCCCAGCTCCCAGTGGGAGAACCTTGACTTCGAAGTTGAACTGACCTCAGATAAAATTGTTTCCATGTACACCGATCCGTGGTAACTCACGAGGTAAGCAAGCTTCTGATCTGTGCATTAACAAGGACTGGGGGCAGTGCCTGCAGCTCAGCTGAGGAGTGCCTGTGTACCACACACCAGGTCCTGGGCTCAACTGCTCAGACTGGGCCCAGAGTCGCATAACTAAGACCCCGGTGTATGAGTGTGGCTCAGTGAAGCAGCCTACTACACACAGGTCCTGGGTTTGACTCCAGCACTTGGGGAGTTGGGGGGAGGAAAGCTCCTTTGTCCAAGTACACTTCCTGCAGGGGCAGGTTACAATAACACACCTCAAGGAAGGCACACACACCCATCATCTCAGCTAAAGCAGTCATCAGAGGTGGAAGCAGAACATGGAAGTTCAAGGTCAACCTCTGCTAGTGAATTTAAGACAAGAAACCTGTCAACAAGAAAGCTAGGTGTGGTGCTAAGAGATCAGAGTTGAAGACAGTCCAGCCTGGGCTATTTTGAGACTGTCTCAGAGGAAACTAAAAAGCCTTCTCCTCCACCACGCAAAGAAGTACAGAACTAGTTTAAGCAGTAATACATTAAACACAAGACTTCAAATCTACATTGCAAGGACTCTATTCATTTGCTATTCACTTTTGCTTTTAGTTGACTTACATGTTTGCCCAGCTGACTTCCCTAAAGAGACTTGCGTAAGGGGAAGGAAGGCGATAAGAAAAGACCCATACACCACATCTTACTTTGGAGAAGAAAAAAAAAAAGGTTTATTTTTTTTTTTCCTCAGGAGAAGAAACAGTTTAGGGAAACACATTTTTTACAACCCACATTAACTTGCAGTTGGTCCTAACCCTTTCGGGAACAGATGTTAGAAATGCCGGTTCTACCAGAATGAAGGTTTCACCACCCCAGGTAGATTGTACATGGATGCTTGAAGACTGTTGGTTTTTTCCCTGAGAGAAGTGTAAGACAAACAGAATTTGCTGAGAGCCGTCTTTCCAAGCAGCCCTCCCTCTTCCCTTTGGAGGATGTGTCTCAACTCTTCAGCTAGTCAGCACTCAGGCCTCGTGCCTCTCTCTTCTCCCTCTAAATAAACCCCTTTTCTCAACCACTTGAGCTCTCCAAGTCTTCAGGGCCCTGGAGCTAAAATACCTACTAAGATCCTGTCTGCATATACACAAACTTCCACAACTGAATATGGGGGGCTAGTCTTTCAGTCACCTTAACCTGTAGGGTTAATTAAACTACATAAAGTGCTTATAAGTCCAAGACATAAACATAAATAAGCAATTTATAACCAAGGATAAATACACAGGTACAAATGGCTCCAGCAGGATGACCTATGGCTGAGATGGGCGGCAGGGCACTTCTCCACTGCATTCTTAGTCATCTGATTCATGCCTATTTTTATCTGCAGTCCTGACTAAAGGTCACGTTCTGGGACCGAAGCTTCCCAATGACCCTAGCTCAAACAAACACCTTCAGCTTACCAGTGGCTTCTAGGTAACTGAGGCTCAACAGAACCACCTCTCTCTACATTTCAGTGAGCAGATTCACACCGGGAGCAAACCGTAGCTAAAGCTATGACTCTGGACGCTTTTCGACAACAGAAGCAACAGTGGAGAAGACGCCAATCCAAGAAAAGGGGGTCTCACCCCCATAGCTGTCACTGCCCGTCACAGGGCTCAGAGGAAGTTACTACCCTAAGGAGACAAAGACGGAGGGAGGGAGATCACTTAGGTTCCCAGTTGGGGGGTGGGGGTTCAGGGAGGCAATATAGACCTCGATTATATCTGTAGAGGGGCCAGGGAGAGCATAACAAGCCAGTATGTGAAGAAAGGAAAGGAAGTAAAGGTTAACTCATTACAATAGGTGGGGCATCAGACAGACCAATACAGAAATTCAAAACAAAGCTTGGCAATCATTAGTAGAAAAGAAATACATAACTTGTTTATTGACACCACCGGGCTTAAACTTGTGTTAAACAAGTAAACCCCGTGAATAGCACCATGGTTATGAGTCTAGCCTGTGTTCCCAAACCACTTTACAATTTTAGCACGTCAAATGGGGGTCAAATGTCTTACCTCTGTGATACAAAATCAGACCGGAAAACGAAACCTGCATAGTTATGAATCTGATTCGTCCCACTACAACCAGTCCACACACAACTGGGTCTGGACCAAGTTTTAAAAAGCTGTAAGAAATAGATTTCTAACTAGAGAAGTTGCAATTTCAAAAGGGTATGGAAAAACTAAATCCAAGACTTCCCTCTTTTTATATTCAAAGAAATAGACTTTCTGTAAAAATATATACAATTTTTACAGACAAATACATTTTTTATAAGTTGTTTTTCTTAAAAATTGAGGCTTCTCAGTCTTGTAACTAATTAGCGAACTTGAGTCAAGTACTTTTGGCCGTAACTAGGCTGATGAACTTAGTCATCCAACCAAGCCCGAGCAGACAGGCCTCTTGTCCCGAGAGCACTTGGGCCGTCACGGAGTGCACCTGGGAAGCTCCCCCGAAGGGCCCCTTCACATCCTCCTACAGTAAGTACTGGGGCTTCTAGTCACAGCTGGTCACTTGTAGCTTAAATCCACTCCACACAGGTCACCGCCATTGTTAGTGCTTCTCTTTCAACACTACAGGAGAGTGGTGGACTCTGCACATTTATTGAGCTCTATGACTAGCCTGACTGGCCACTCTTCTAGATAAGGAATCAAGTCTGTCCATCTACCCACTTTCGTCCAATCTACAAGTCCTCCTCCACGGCCTCCACAGTCTGCTGAGGGAAAACTGCTTCTTTCGGACAGTACTCTTCCACAGGGAGCACTTTCCCGTGTATTTATTCTTGTTAGTCAATCCTGCAGCCACTTGCTTGCTTTCTGGCTATGTTGCTAGAGTGGAACTCCTGGATTGTTAAAGCGGGCAGCTTCAAGTCCAACTTCATAAATACACTTGTTTTCACAGAAGCGTGTGGTTTGGTGGCCGGAGTTAAGAGTTACCTATTGCTCTCACAAGGCTATCTTATTAGGTATGCCAGACCAGCCCCTACTCCAGCAACACCCGCAAAGGCCAGCAGCACATTTCTGATGCCGCCTTCTAGGTCCTGTACGTGGAAGAACTCCACAAACCCATCCTAGAAAACAAAAAGAAACACATTTTTCAAGTATGGGTTTCTGCGGTTGCAACACTAAATATAGAGAAAGGGTGAATTAAAATATCCCCCCAAACAATGGTGAACCAATTATTATATACTCCTGGGATGCAAGAGACATTTCTGGAGATCTTTTCAGTGAGTAACCACTCACAATAGTTAAACTAACTCACAGCAACTGCGCTGCAATCTGAACAAAAGAATTTTGAGGGCCCTCATAACATGGCAGAAGACAGAAAGAAATCCTAACCACTCTTCAGATCGCTCTGCAGCATTCTCCCGTGGGTCAGTGTTTCCTAATGAGGTCCAGTACACCTCACACCCAGAGCTCTTTGAGAACTAAACTTCTGAAATTCGGGCTCTACCCCGTGTCCATTTGATTAAAATGAGGGGCCCACTGGGAACGAAATTCAGTCATCATAGGTGACTCTTACTTCTTCACGGTTTGAATCCACTGCTCTGAAGATTATCCAACTGAATTAGAAGAACAACCTACAGAATACAAGACCTTTTGGTACAATTCAAGACCGTCATAGCACTTTTTCTCTGGACCTATCACTTACAACGTCCAACATCAAGCAACCAGAGATACATATATTAGATCTGGAGCCGGGGGGAGGGGGAGCACTTTGTAAAAACCTTTAGTTGCGTCCACCTTCACAAAATCCTGCACCCCATTTCTACTCCGCGGCCCCTTTAAACCACAAGGCACACTTACCCAGCCTCTTTGTCTGACAAGCCAGTCCCGTTTTGTCCGTACAAGAACATCTGTGATACTTTCTGCTAATGGTTCGATGCAGCTCTCCTGGTTTATGCTCTTCAAGTGTTTGGCCACATAGGCACCAAAAGAAATAAGAGTCACAATCCTGCCCCAGTTTGTTACGCCATCTTTGAAAACATGGACCATCACTCGAGAAAAAGATTTCACATCGTCTTCGTTTTTAATGTCCAGCTTCCGGAGCATGCCTGAGAAGAAGAAAAAGCATGCAACCTCGTGGCCTTTCTTCCTTTGTCTGCAGCGGGGGGGGGGGGGTGACCCCCTCTCGCCCACCCACGGCGAGGGGCCGGGGCTTCTCCCGGCGCGCGGAGCAGCCTCCGGGCGGACCCCACGCCGCCACTGACATCCCACCCTTTCCGGCTTTTGAACCCAACTGCCTGCCAGATGGGCGGAAACAATGACTCACGGCCAGAACATTCTGGCCGCCGAGCCAGGCTCGGCTCGCC